AGCAGATGGATGACAGGCTCAGCTAGCGTTGCCTGGGCTCCCTAAACACACTCGGATGCAAAATGCACAGACGTATGCTTGGAATTAGAAAAGCAGACTAAACTTTTGTCATTTTCATTTGATGAAACCACAATGTTAATGACTGTTCATATGCCAATATTTGCTATTTATGTGCATGAATGAAGAGACACACATCCTAATGAAAATTCACAAATTTCCAGTCACAAGTTCTTGTAAAACTTTGATCTGCCGAAATAGATTTTTGTCCACTATGATTAATATTTAAGACCTATGATCTAAAATAATCAAAATAAACACATTTTAAGTATCATTTATGTCTTCCTGCCACCAGGAGACATGAATTATCATTTGTAATTCATGTTTGAATGTGTGAGAAAGGGCACATTTTCTATGCAAAAGGTTGAAAGATTTAAAGGATAAAACAGAGTAACATCCTGCAATCTAGTCAGCTGTCTTGTTAACAGATTTGATCTCTCTCACTGCTGGAATAAATTGAAGCTATGTCCTCATGTGTAAAACTTAAATTCCTGTACTTCTACCTACTTCCCTTGTAAACCCCTTAATGCAAGTGAATTCCCAACTTTGAGTCTGATTCCTGCAGGAAAAGGTTGTTACCTTGACCTAATACTGTTTATGTGTGGTACATTCACTGATCAGGAAAGAAATCCGATTTTTCAGTTAACTAGATCACAGGTTAAGGTCAGTCCAGGTGGAAATGCATCTCAGCCATCTGCTGATTTCTTGGTGCACTTCTCACTTCAAGGCAAAAATGGTTTTATTGTTCAGTCAAATAAAGATAAATATTTATCATGGACACTCAAAGCTAAATTTGACCAAGTTTAAATTGGTGCATCCAAGCTGCAACAACTGCCAATGCTCTTTACATTCTAGGGCAATTTCCCCCAAAGATGAAATATATCGATCACTAATCCAATACCACCATCCTTGTTTAAATGAGATAGATTTTAAAATGCAAGTTAACATCTTAAATTGCTACAAATTTATTATAATTTTTTTTTTGGGGGGGGGTTGCATCATATATGGTATGAATCACTTTCTCTAGTATGACTGTGTTAACCGATAGCTCTCTGAAGGCTTTTCACATAAATCAATTCCATCTTTTTTTAAATTAATTTAAGTGGAAGGGGAAGCAAACACATGTGTAGGGTAAATTAAATCAGCCCTACAAATATTGGGCCTGCATGGACATCTGTTTTATGGCAAGTTAGTTGGTCGGCCAGGTCCTGTCTTTATCTAGCCAGCAAAAACAGATTGAAAGTTTGCCTTTTTTACCCAGTATCTCCTGTCCTAATAGTGCCTACACAAATACATTAGAAGTCAGACCCTTTTCACCCATCTAAGATGTTTTATGGCTGCACAGATGATGTTTTATGCCTGATTTCTGAGCTTAGGTTTTTGGAAGGCTTTGAACTGTCAATATTGGTTTCAGCCTATTTTCCTTTAATAACTGTAAATCATTCTGTACAGCCTTCCTGCGTTTAGCTATTATCAATTATTTATACAAATATGTAGTATTTACTTAATTTTAAACTTTAAACTGATACGGAAGATAGCTACAGTAGCTTTGAGTCTTCTTCCTGTGATAACCACTTCCCCACTGATGAGTGGAGTGTGAAGCGATGTTTGCACTCCTTGACATGACTTAAATATTGTGCATCAACTCAGCAGAAAAAGTTATTTTTTTTTTTTTTTTATATGACCACCTGGATAACAGTAATGGATGATCAGAAGTATTTAGACTCAGATCACCAGCTGCTTTTTTAAGAAATCATATTTCCAGCTTTTATTTTTCAACCATAATTTTACATTTAGATGGCAACCTTACTTTTTTTTTGTAATGTTTATTCAATACAGAACTGCTTGGGCAGATAACTGTTTGGTTTGATTTGGTTTTCGTGTTTAGGTGTCAGAGCCCTCTAACAGCTGTAATAAATCTCCTGCTGGTTGGAGGATGTAAAGATACGTTTCCTTTCAGAAATGATTACCATCTGATGTAGTTTCGTTGGCAGTTCCATTACAGTAATAGATCCATACAAGAGTTGACAAGCACAAATACAACTCTTGGCATTATTTACACCCTTACAAAGCTTCACTGAAAGCTTACACCAATTACCTACCCGTGAATAAAAATCTCCCCCACAGCTGATCCGAGATATATATTATGAATAGAATCTGTGCATGTCAGGTCCCAACTGATTTGTAAATGTAATTGGGACAATAAATAAATAAATACATAAGGTTTTACCAGCTTTGAAAGTTCTGAGGTGAAAATATTTTTGATTAAAGAGGGTGCTTAAGACTGCTTAGGTGTTGAATCACTTCAAATTAATCTGACAGTTTGGAAACTGCTTCAGTGAAATAGGTGGAAGTTTGTGTTTCCTTCTTCTTGGTGAGAGCTGACTGTGATAAACAGAATCCCCCTCCTTAATCCTCCAACTCAGAGAGCCAGGCCAATTACATTTCTCTCAGAACTGGGAATAATATCACATCATATTTTAATGTGATTTAGTTAAAAAAATTAGTAAACTTGTAAGATTTGTCTTTTTTTTTTTTTTTTTTTTTTTTTTTTTTCATACAACAGTATTAAAGTTTTTACTCCTAATGACTAGAAATGCTGCAATCTGTATTGAACAATGTGAATTATTTATTTTTTATTTATTTATTTTTTTTGTGAAAATGCATTTGGAGAAAACATTTCAACCTGGAGAGACTCACAAAGAGACATGCATGCAATTATAGTTTTTCGAGCTGATTGAATATATTTAGTCGCCCAGACCCGAGTAGAAGACGTAGAGGTGAGCATCGTTTGTAATCAAAGAATGAGCAGGTTTATGAGAATAGAGATGTCATTGAGAATTTCTTATTTTGGTTCAGCTTCAGTTATGATGTTTGATACTGATATAAGTCAAAACAAATTTGATTGGCTGCATTGACCAGTAGGAACAAAACATTGTTGGAATTATAACACTATTTTAGAGAAATCTAAAATCTCTAATAATTCTTAAATGCTTGAAACTGTATTCAGTGTGTTTGAATAAATTAAAATAACATGGATATTTATAAATGATACTTATTTACCCCACCTCATAGTTGCATTCATTCAGTCTCCTTCATCTGGGCATCCAGCAACCCCCCCCATGTATGCTGTGTCATTTATCTGCATTGTGCAGGTATTTCTATGTAATTTGTCCTAACAAAAATCATAGCAACACTGATCGAGGCTGAATGGAACAATGTACGCTGCGTTAAAGCAAGACATTTAATGTGACAGAATTGCTAGTGAACAGTTTTATACTAAAGCTCTTTTAACTTTTAATGCATGATGCTGCCAATAGCTGATAACTTCGCTTGACGTTTTCAGAATCCAGAGGAGAGAGAGAGAGAGATAGGCAGTCATCTTGCGTTAATACCCTTCAGAACGCTCTTTTTTTAAAATGCAACATTTGTCCAAATCAAAAAAAGAAACTACAGTATGGTTAAGATGCCAGGTGTTGGAGTTGCTACTGATAATGTGTCATAAAAAATGACACCTGGAGCTTAGCTGCTCTTATTTCTTTGATGGCTAGCATCTTTTATGACGGCCATTTGGTGTTTTTCTATATTTCCTTAGCTGGTTGCAGATGTATCTTTACCTCTGTTGAAGCAGCAGAGAAAGTGTAATATTTTCCCATTCACTTTTTAAAATGAACAGGAGACTATAACATATATGAAATACAAAATGAAATTTAGATACATCTCTTATGCATAACATTGTATGATATTTTTGTTTTTGGAAGTACGTCTCTCCAAATACAGCTTTTCTATCTCTTTTTGAAACACAGAATTGTGTTTCAATTATTTTTATTATCAGATTTCTAAAATGGGTCTGTGTTTTTATTCCAGCACTACTTATATATGTGAAAGGAACAGTGTGCCATCTCTCTATCTCCCTTTAAATCTTTATAAGCCAGAGGAACTTTTATCACTCTCAGACAATCTGATATATGAAAAACACAACATGGACAGATCTGTTCTGGGTGTTTGTGTGTGTGTGCGTATGTTTGTGGGTGTGTGTGCGTGTGTGTGCACAAGCCTGCCCCTCAACACACTTCTATACAATATTTTTTTCCTGCACATGCATGCATCTTTGTTATAATGTGCCTTTCTCCTCTCAATGCAGAGCTGCAGAGTGTAATGCTTGGGTTTGTGCTTCCTCAGGCTTCTTCATGTCAAAGTCAGTTTCGGTTGACTTGAAGTTAAAGAAAACAGACTGACAGAATGAGCAAAAAAAAAAAAAACAGAAGAAAATTATCGAAAGTCTCTGCTGGTGATTCAAAATGCTGTTTGCTCCAAAATGAAAGATACAAAACCATATGTGAGAGTAGCAGCCTTTGAAGCTGAAGAATACCCAATAAATACAGTGTGTAATTATAGCACATTAAGGCAGACGCTATTTATCACGGCAGGTTTTAGGTGGGAGGATAAAGATTGAAGAAGTAAAGAGCTAAAGAGCGTCGTTGGGTTGTTGCCTCAGGGTAAAGCTGCTGTCAGTTTACTGCCAAGAAAGCAACAGAGTTTTTTTTTCATGACAGCAGGAGAGGAATCACGAGCTGGAACAGAGGTACACAAGTAGAAGTGTCAACTGAGTTTACAAAAAGTCAGTTGTTTTTGACTTGCCAACTTTTTTGCACAAAGCCTTTCAACTATGAACACGTTGTTTGTAAAGAAGTGAGGGAGAAGAGTGTTAGGTGGTAGAGCAAAGAATATAATATTCTTCAGGGCAAGTGCAACCCATTTAGAGCCAGCCTCACAGAAGTAACATCTAAGCAACACTGTTTTGGTTGCTCAAGCAACAGGTGGTAAGGCTACCCCAAGGGTCAACCTGTAACAGGAAGACAGATCCAGCAGTGTTCTCCTAAATTTTTTGGTTTTTGTTTCTCTACTAAAACACAAGTAAACCTTTGCTTCTTCTCTCACAGGAGCATTGCAGATTGAAAACAGTGAAGAGACGGACCAAGGGAAGTACGAGTGCGTGGCTACTAATTCCCAAGGCGTACGCTACTCCTCTCCTGCAAACCTTTATGTGCGAGGTAGGACCTGAACACTGAACACATCCACACACACACGGACAGACAAAGACAAAAAAATCAACACTTATGGACCTCTATTAAGGCACTCTTTTTAATAAAACTACCTCTTTTCTCATGACCGTGCTGTTAAACAAGTATTACTAACCCATCCATTGTCTATAATATATGTTGACCCTGTTCTTTTTTTGGTATTTCTCACAACCACCTTCCACCTTAAACCTTGGTGTGTTCTCATACAATAAAGAAGAAGCAGAGTGAGCCATGCCTCGGTTTAACTGCATGGAAACATCTCTGATCTTGCTCCTAAACTGGTTTCTGTACAAGAAGGCGGATATAAAGAAAACATAGTGCCTTGCTAAAGTATTCACACTCCTTCAACTCTTGCCTTTTGCAGTATGTTACAACCACAAACTACAATTTATTTCATTAAGATTTAATGCAATAGATTATGTTTTACAAATAAAAATCAGTTAAATCAATTGCATTAAGTGTTAACCTAAGCCAAAAATATTTCTCACTTGTTTTTTTATTGAATCTCAGTAGGAAAACAGCTGCTCTTTAAAAGGCCCTAGAGTTTATCTAGAGAACTTAAGTGAAGAAGTAGTATAATGTTCAGCAAGAAACACAACAGACAAGCCTTGGAGGAAATATGAGGAAGTTAGTTTAAAAATTAGGGCAAGTATCGAGTCCTGTTGTACAATAATATCCCACCGTACAATAACCACCTTGGATGCATCATCAAAACAAATGGAAAGCTTATGGAACAACTGCAAGCCTAACAAAACCTAACTGGAATGGGTAGCTACAGTCCTGATCTTTTCAGATGTGTCCCTGCTCCAACTGACCAGAGTAAAATAATCAAATGAATACCAGGACTCTGGAGAAGCTGTGTATCAAGGATATAATGCAGCTGTTTCATTCAAATGCCCTGGACCAAGGACACAGTGTTGTAAGACACCAGCCTTTGAGGACTAGAGGTACCCATCCCTGGCATAAGGAGCTTAGAAATCAGATTAACAGGTGGTATTGAAGAAGAAGATGTCCTATTCAGAGTTTTTGGCCAACAAACTGAATGTTATGAGAGGCAGAAAGCTATCACCGCACCATGGTGGTGGAATCATCATGCTTTAGTGATGATTTATAGAAATTAATGTTTGTGGTTGTACCATTAAAAGTATAATAGGTATGAGAAATGAAGACTTTGACAAGGCACAGTGCTTTGATCTCAATTGGGAAATGAACAGAGATCTTTCACAATCTCTCGTAACGAACTGACACCAATCTCTGCCTGGGCGCTGGTGTCTTGTAGGCTCAAAGTCAGTGGCCAATGTTCGGATTTGAAAGTTCTGGTTCTATGTTTACGTGGCTTATCAGAACACTGTATGTATGTGTTGTGTGAGGTGAGTGCGGAAGTGTTGTGATGAGGCGAGAGTGGCTTTGCGCTGGCCGTTTTTATTCTCTCTGTGTTTCCTCGTTCTCTCTCTCCCCCCCTCACGTCATTGTGTTCTGCATCAACCCCCTTCCATCCCTCAGAGCTTCGAGAAGGTTGGTGCGCTCTTTTCTTTGCTTTTGTTACTCCTTTGTTTCAGAAAGCGTCACTTATTGAAACAGCAGGAACCCAAAAAAAGAGGAGGGAAAAGAGTAGCTTAAAGTGAGACAATTAAACCTTGTGTCCAAAAATGAGGAGAACAAAGCTGCTGCGAGGATGACGAAGCGGTCCGCCCATGCAGCAGAGTGCCTTGACTGCATTGTGAGGCCTTGTGTGCAGAACCCTTGGTATTGCCTTCACTCCCCGATCAATGTTTTCTGCATGGTATGATCTTGTTGTCATGGAGACCCAAGAATTGGAAGATTAAAAAGAGGCAATGTTTGCATGGAAGGAGTGAGAGAGAAAGAGAAAGGAGCACCACTTGCATGGGTGTTGACTGACGGACTGACAGAAGAGCATGGCGCAGTGTGAGTTCATGCCTAGTGATGTGCTCGGATTGTGATATTATTGAACTTGCAGCCTTGTCATGTATTGCAGCTCTTTTCTGTTTTGCCCCTTTTGTTCAGTTTATGTATTACCTTTTTGTCCTTCTCCCATGTCATCACATCTGCTCCAGTTGTTGCACTGACTGGGAATGTTGCAGTCACAGTAAAGCTTTAGCTATCCCCTTTTTGTTCTGAAGTCTCATGTTTGATTTGTCAGTAGATCTTGGTTCTTTTTGGGCAAAATCCATAGCAAACCCAAGATGGGCAAGGGAAAAAAAACTTAACTTGAGTGATGCATATTTGAACAGATACTGCTGCTTCTAGAGATGGTTTCAGCTCCTCTGACCACTCTGCTTTACTGAAGGGTTGTGTGCATACATTTTTATCTCATGTGGGAAGTTTTCACAAGGAGCCATTCTAGATTGATTATCTAACAAGTTTAAAATGATACTTTAACTAAGTAAAAAAAAAAATCAAACTAATAGAGTTGAATTATAGTTATGAAAAGTACATTATACACAAGGAATAGTGCATATCACACATTCTCATGGTGAAATGTGGTGGTGGCACAATCTTGCATCGCAGATGTTTGTTTTCAATCACATGCTGGAATGGCCTACTCAGGATTTTTTGTAAAACTAAAACAAATCAATTGTTCCTCCATTTTGACAGTGCTTTAGAAATATTGAAAAGCACAGTAGGCACAATTTAGGTGGTGTGTGGGGGTATTGGGCGTTGGCTGAATAATTCAATTCAGTTTATTTATAAAGGGCCAATTGAGAACACACGGCATCTCAAGGCACTCTACAGAGCCAATTCAATCACATCATACAGTCCGGTTGGTTAAAAGTTTCTTTCTAAGGACCACCAGCTGATTGCATTGATTCACTGACTTGCAAGACACACTTAGATATTCGCTTCCATTTTGTCACTTACTTTACAGCAGGGTTCAACAATGCAGTGTCCAAGGGGCCCTCAGGAACCATATGGGAGACCCTCAGCATCTTCTGAAAACAGTAAAACTAAGTTTGAAATTTTATATTATTATTCTGCTCTCCTTTTTAAACATTTATAGAGCATATCACATAGGGCATTTAAGCATTTATAGAAATTTTTAAAATGAGAAATAATGAGAAAACTTTGGAGTCATAGCACTTTAATTAATGCTTTCTGTTAGCAAACGTAAACGGTCAACTCATTCCACAGGAGGCCCTATCTAGGAAAGATACAGACAAGCCCATGTGCTCTGAGCCAGTTTTCATGTCAGAGGGATAAATAATGAGCACATACAGTTGATGGCAGTAAAAGCTGACACCATAGCTATGTCTGTGAGAGAAACAGGACCTAACACTACAAAAAATAAAAATAAAAAAAAAGGAACAGACTAGATGAAGCTACTCACTAGAAAAGCAGAGAGAACATAAAGTTAGGGATTGAACCAAAAAATACTGCAGAATTGTAGGGTGGAGATAGAATGAAGCAGAATGATGTAAAGTGGTCCCTATGTCCTCCAGCAGACTAAACTTTTAGTAGCATATCTATGGAGATAGCTCAGGAAAACCTGAACCACTATATGTTTTATTAAAAAGGAATGTTTTAAGCGCAGTATTAAAAATAGACAACATGTCTGCCTCATGGACTTAAACTGGTAATTGGTTCCATAGGAGAGGAGCCTGAAAACGAATCGATCTGCCGCTCAGTCTATTAGAAATTGAAGGGACCAGTAGTCAACTAGCAGAATAATAGAAAGAGAAATGCACAACACAACATTCAGTTTTGTTTTGTTTTTTTCAGATTAGCAAACCGCTTTTTTTTTAACTATTTTTGGTCTTCTGCCACATAAAATCCCAATACTCTTCTTTGAGGTTTGTGGCTATCATTTGACAAAATATAAAAAAAGCTCCAGCTGTTTGATTACAGGTACTTTTAAAAGTCACTATATCGTTTTTTTTATACCTTTCAAGTGTTTGAAGGGTGTACTCTATCTTTTCCTTTTTTCTTTTCACTTTATCTTTGTTTCATAAATTATGCATGATGAAATCTGTAGTGCCTAGTTTTGTTCACATGAGTTATAATTATAGAACCCAGTTAAGAAATGCGAAACCTCAACAGTTAATGTAGGTCTTACTTTAATTTTACCTTGCCATCAACATCTGATAATAAATCAGATTGTTTTGCTGTTCTGTAGTCAGTGAGAATTTTCTAGATAGATGCAAAAAAAAAAAACAACAAAAAAACTTTTGGTAGCAATTTCCTGAAGCTGCGTAACATCAGCTTTTTTAACTGTGTTTTTGTCTAAGGGCCTTTTGGTTTTCAGCATGCAGAGGCTCAGATTCTTTGGGATTGTTCTTGTTTTTCTACGGCTCATATATCTACCTATCAGCTGTCTGAGGTACTTTAGCCGGTACTAAAATTGGTCCAACAATAAATAAATAATGAAATCCATTTATATATTTATTTATTTTTTTGCATTACATAATCCTCCAGTAATATTGTTTCTCTTCAACTCTCACTAGTAATCCTGCTCAGAATATCTGTTCACTTTTTTTTTTTTTTTTTAGCAGTGACTGATATTTTTTTCTCACTGAAATTTCTCTTCTTTGCTACAACACAGACTTTACTGTGTTTTTAAACTTCGGCAAGACTTACCTTAAAACATATCAAATAATATTTATGATTGAACATCCAAGTTTGATCTAAACAATCCAACCTTGCAAATATGAATTCTTCAATAAGCATGCATTTTGCTCTGCTAAGGATCTTGAAAAAGAGATCTGCAAACATGAACTAAATTATTTTCTGTTTTGAAATGCCTCATTGATGTTTAGGCTCATTATGACTCCAACTGAGCTGCACGATATTAGGAAAATTGGACAAAGTTATTTTTAATAACGGGATGGTGAAATTAATTGCAATCAACCTACATTATTTCTTCCATTATGTAGTCACAGACAAGTAGTGCAAAGTTGTGAAATATATTATTATCAAGAAAACATTGAATGCATGGCACCTGAAATGTTATTCCTTCTCAAATAATGTTTCCAGCAAATCCTTCGTGATTGTGATACTGTGCACATTGTTATTACAATGACTCATGACATTAAATATACAGTATGTGTAGCTGTATAGTTTACATTTCATAAAAGAAAAACTTTACCAAGAACTTTTCTGTGGTTAGGTAACAATAGTGTTATGGTAGGGATGTCCCTAAATGACTGTTGGTTGAGCCTCAGCATGCTCCAAAAATAAGGAGTGGGCTGGTTCTGTACTGACTTCGAAAATTGTTTGTCTGTAAGTGATTCACCAGATGGTTAAATCTGGTTGAGCTTACTTTTAGAAAAGGATTCACATGTTTTATAAAAATATTCATAGGTAGTATTTCTCCATTTTGTGCGAAAGCATACTGGTGGTTAGGGTAACAAAAAAAAAGATTCAACAGAAAGCATATTACACTGCATTGAAACTGTTTTAGCCCTAAATTACAGACATATTTGGATTTGATGTTAGACTATGACTTACCACAATGTGTAAATATATCTATTTAAAGGGAACATTTTCACATTGTTTTAAGGATGAACACCTTTCAGCTGTCTATTATAGTATTTCAGTCAGATTTAAGAAGTTAATTGTAATCATAATTTAACAAACTTTCAAAAAAAATTTTTTAGTATTTAGATAAAATGAAAGATTTTATGGTAAACTTTTGCATGTGATGGAAATTACATTTGATAAATCTTTTCTAAACAATTTTTTATTATTATTGACATAAAGTAAGATTAAAATTCAGCAAGAATGAAGCATTAATGCATATTAAATTACATTGTAGATATTTGGCCCTGTGATTTCTTTATCCTGAGGCCTACTGTATTTGCCAGCTGCAGCATTCATAGCAATACCACTTAAATTTGCAGACACCTACATATAAAATTATTCAAACCCTTGACAGATTTTTATCAAAACTTTATTTTAATTTAGTCATCATTATTCTATTTATGTTTAGAAATGACAGAGGTCTCTCCTAATGTAAAAATTTAGCTTTCAATTGTGGAAAAAGGCTGCAGATAATTCATGTTATCTCACCAGTTAGGAATTAGACTAAACCATTTTTGATTAATCTAAAATAAAACTGCATTTGTTGTTCCAGTAATACTTTTACTTAAAGAACCTAAATAGACAAGGAAAAGGAAATAATAGAATAGAAAATCCCTTTATTGTCCCACAATGTAGAAATTCTGGCGTTTAGAGTAGGAAAAAGAATATATAAAAAATGGTCACACAAATGTGAACCTTAGAAAAGTGTATAAAAATAACATAATATTGAAGAGTTAAAAAATAAACAAATAATATTCTGTACTATAGTGTTTTAATAATATAAATACTGTGCACCTGGAGAATAAATAACCAATATACAGCTGTGGACATTTTTACAGTAATGGATATTTGAAAATAGAAGCAACACCGGAAAAATCAGCATGAATTTAACAACTTATTATGGAAACAGTGATGGTTTTGTCCTAACTTATTGAGGTTGTCGGGAACAGTGATGGTTTTGTCTTTTTTTTCGGCTCCTGTTTTCACCAGCATCACTAAAATGTCTCCATTCACTGGCATTTAATATTAATCATACCCATTCTCATTTTTAGGTATTCTGGGGATATAATGATTCCCTCTTATTACAGTGGTTAATGAAAGTTTTGTCCTTGGTGCAGACAGGATGGCTCTCTGTAAATGTCAGCCGTACAGTTTCCACAGAGATACTGCAGTAATCCTTCTGGCTGTGCCAAGTCTTTTTGCAGGCTGTTGCAAGCAGACTCCCAGCAGAGGAATGGGCTAATGATAGCGTCTCTAATAAAGACTGAATGTCTGAAGCTCTTAAAAAATGTATAGAAAAAGCAAACAGGGAATCAAGAGCCCAACTTGATTAACTTAAAGCTAGAGGCCCGGTGAGCGACTGAGGGATTATCCTTGGTTATGAGCTTTCTTTATTCTAAAGCACCTGCCTGAGCTCTGCATCTAAAATTTTAGTCATAGAGCTGAGGGAAATCTTTGATCAATGATATATATAAAGGGCTTCCTTTAGAAAAATCATCTGAAGTCATTACCACCGTTTTGTTGCCAACATTTTTACTCTATTAACACATAATATGCTAATAAACTGCTTTTTATATTTATTGATTTATTTTTTTCATTCTCAATAAAAAAACCATGTTGTCATGCTGCATTGCACCTGCTATGTTTGTGTTATGCATGGGGCTGCCTGCCTGTCTGTCTGTCCGTCTGCTTGTCTGTCCCCAGCATGCTCAGATTAGCAGTTGCCTGCCCAATCATGTCTGTTTTCTAACAGATCTATCTGTTCTTGTCTCTTTGTCTCTTTCTTCTCTTCAACCTGTATCCAATTCTGGGTATTTTTTCCTGATTATTTTTCTACTGCATTTATTTTTCATTTAACAGCAGTAAAATCCCTACAACAGTATATTTTGATTTTCCTTTTAATTTGTTGAAATCATGGAATACTATTAACTTCTGCCCAATTGTCTCTAGTTTTTTGAGTAGGGGGGATGTGGCCCATGAAGAACCCATGTAATGATGTTACTCAATAAGGACTGGAGGTTATGCAGCAGGTTTATGAGTATCTATTAATCATTTTATGTGCTTGATCTTGGGTGATGTTGGGTGATATATTCTTAGAGACAATGGAGTATGCTTAGATTATTGCTTTGTTAATCTGTAGGATTTCATTTTAGAGTTTTAATTTGTTTAGTTTTAGAGCATTTTTTATTTTCTGCCCAGTTCTGGTTTTATTTTTTTAAACATATACAGTACCTTGCAAAATGTTCAGATTTTGTCACATTGCAACTACAGACTGCAATTTAGTTTTTGGGACTTATATAGTTAAAAAGAAATGGTTTCCAACCATTATTGAGAAAATAAAATCAGAAAAGTGTGGCATGCATATATCCAGCCCCCTTTTCTCTATTGCCCCTAAATAAAAGCAGTTGCATCATTTTTTTGTATTTTGAAGTCACCTGATGTACAAATAAAGCTGACATGTGTGTGATATCATTGTAAATCTACCTGTTTAGTAAAGGTTTTAGATGTTTGCTGGGGAACATTAATGAGCAAACAGCATCAAAAAGATGAAAAAACACAGCAGACTGGTCATGGAGAAAATTCAAGAGATATAAAACAGAGTTGTATCCAAAGCTGTGAACATCTCACGGAGCTTGTTTTAACATATGTCAATATAATTAAAATTTTGTTGGCATTGTCTGAAAATTAGTTTTTGCAGACAATCATGATGCAAGTACCTTGATCTCTTTTTCAAAGAAGAATGGAAGTATTTTTTTGTCTCCAGATTGAAACCGTAGGTTCAGAAATGTCCCTTGCAGCTTTGATATCAGGTAAGACTAGTACTACAAATAAATAGATGAAAAGAGCTTGATGCAAATACATGCCAGACTTTTCACATTTAAACATGTAAAACTTTTTACAAGCCTTCTATTATTTTCTTTATAGTCACGTATGGCTATGCATTGGTCCATTGCTTCAGATCCCAATAAAGCACAGTGAGCATGTTTGTGGTATGTGGTTGTAATGGTTCAAATTGTGAAAACATTCCCTTTTGCAAGGCACTGTTAGCTTCCTGTAGTGCTGAGTTTTTCGACTGTTTCTGCTCTTCCCTTTCATTCTCTCCTTTCATCCAGAGACGTTTGTCTGTTTTTCTCTGTTTTGTTTCCTGTGCTGTGACCCTCGGGTATCTCTCCTTTCTTCTTCTCTGTTCCTACAACATCCAGTTTTTTCTAGCCATTTTATTTTTTCAGTTTTTTCTTTATATGATTTTGTCTCTCCTTACTTTAGAGGCATCTTCTTTCTGAATGGGCCTGACTCTGGTATATAGACGTGTTTTTAAATAGATCCATGTGTTTTCTTCTTCCTCGCTCCTCTTTTCTTCCCCCCTTCTTCCCTCCTACCCCTGCAATACCCTTCCTCTAATCCTCTCTTTATCTCCACCCCCTGCCCCCCCTGTCTTCCTTTTCTCTCTTCTTCCTCTTCATTCTGTCCGCGCCCTGATGTGTAGGAGCTTCAGACACATGTACATAAGTTTATTAACTTATAAACATGCACATACTACCTCACATATCTCTCTCTCTCTCTCTTTTTGCTCGAACTCTTTCATGCTGTCTTGGTGTTCTTTACTTAATGTCTCCAACGATCACGGCACCTTTTTCGGATCTTTTCTGTCCACATTTCCAACTCATTTTGACAACACACTGTTATCAGTAATTGATCCTATGTATTGTACAGTATCTTGTTGCACAATGTGGCTGTCCTTTGCTACATTGCCTGTCATTGTCTGGAAGAGACGCAGAGCTGCTTCTGTCTTTCTCAGTCTCTCTCTATCTCTCTGTGGCTCTGCTTCTGCCTGTCTCCTCAGTGTCTTGTCTTGCTCCTCTCTGTCCTCCTCTTTCAGTTCTACGTTCTCTTCTTTGTGTTCCTCCACCATTTTTTTATTCCTCTTGAGTCGCCCAGGCATGCGAGTGACCTATGGGTTCAGTCTCTCTATGTGCCTCCTCTCCAATACGTATCAAGCCAGCTCTGACAGATGTAATATTGCACATAACTTTGCTACTTTGCTTGTTTTCCCTCACAAGAGGGTGGAGGGACACAAATAGCATGCAGGGTCTTATTGATCGGCCCCTCAGTGATGCATATACTCGCTCTAACAGCCCCATCTGCAGCACGAGTGCCTCGAGGCACAGAAATTGCAATCAAGTAAAGTTTGTCTCTGAAGTCACTGGTAAAGTTTAGAATTGCTTTAAGGAGGGGGTTAAAACGAGAACGACACTGCTGTAGCTTGAAGAAAAATGGCCGAGAAATTCTGCACAGGAGAAGAGAAACTGACTATAGGTGTCATGTCCTGGTTGAAATGAAACTCAAGAGTTTGTCACAATATTATTTTGAGTAGGCAGCTCACTGTGAATGGTTGAGCTTAACACAAGATTTATGTCTTTCTGTTGAAATCATCAGTGCCATATAGTAATTGGGACTAAACTTGAAATATCCCTTTGTAATTTTCTGTAAATCCCTGAAGTTCATTTTCCCCCTTCCTGTTACTTCTCCTCTTTCTCTCTCTCTCTTCCTTTATCTTCCTTTTTCTCTCTTCCCTTACTTTCTCTCTCTTGATCTCCTGCTCTGTGCTTTGCTCTTTCTTTCTCATTCTTTCTCCCCCTCCCTTCCCTCTCCTTGCTCCCCTCTTCCCTCTTTTCTCCTCCTCTGCCTCACACTTTTTACCCCCTCCTCACCCCCTTCCCTGCCCCTTTTTCCTTTTTACCCTGGCTCTCTTCCTCTCCCAGTTCGCCGTGTGCCCCCTCGTTTCTCTATCTTACCCTCCAATCATGAGATCATGCCCGGGGGGAGTGTCAACATCACCTGCGTGGCTGTGGGTTCGCCCATGCCTTACGTCAAGTGGATGTTGGGCATTGAGGACCTGACCCCGGAGGATGAGATGCCCGTTGGACGGAACGTGCTGGAGCTCAACGGCGTCCGGGAATCTGCCAACTACACCTGCGTGGCCATGAGCAGCTTGGGTGTGATTGAGGCCACTGCTCAGGTCTTAGTCAAGAGTAAGAACCCCCTTATCTGGGAATTTTTACATCCTAATGTTTTTGAGAAACATGCATGTCTTTAAGAACATGTTGTGCTTTTTTCAAGTGCTCTTGCAGCAGTTTTGGAGAGTTTAAGATTTCTGATATTTAGCTTTATTTCAGGGCTGTCAGAATGACATGCTGAGGCCACAACACAAATTTAGCTTGCCCCCCACAAAAAAAGTTTGTACACCCCAGCTATATTCAAATGGTGCACATTTTCATGATAATGTTCCCAAATATCAGCCCCAGCCAATTTTATTTTAATGTTTAATGTTTCTTGACACTATCCGAGTCCCTCAGTACCTCCAGGAAGCAAATTAATGTGCTGTAATTTATCAGCCCTGCCAGCACCAGGAAGCTGGTGTTGCCAAATTTAGAAATTTGAGAGATCATTGTATTGGAAATTAAAACTGGTTGAATCCCTGAGTGCTGCATGAGTCATTACCAATATCTGAGGATTTTAAGAGAAATGTAAACCAAAAACTGCCATTACGTCATGGACAAAAATTGATTTTGTTATTGATGGATTTATGTATTTTAAGTGTAAAAAGATTTAATGTACACATGAAAAAGAGATATTCTGTAAACAACGAAGAGAATAGGACCTAAAAAACATTCTAGCCTAATTTTATTCAGAGAAAATATAACTAAAACATAATCCTGTGGATAATTTCTGATCTCTTTTTTTTTTTTGTGTGAAATAATTTGAGAAGATTCCAATTTTCCTTTTTGAACCTTAATTCAAAAAGAAACATTACACTCTACTTTAGAACTGTCTACAGCTATAGATGTATTTCTGGATTGTGGATATATATATATATATATATATATATATATATATATAT